CATGGGTGTAGTTTAATTCGTTGAACTGCGTTCTGGCTTGGAGCAAATTGGTGGAGTTAGCATGCGGTAATGTGGATTCCCAGGTGAAATGAGCCAACTCCAATGGTGGCTCAACTGTGATGTATCAGTCAGTGTTTAAGTGCTAACCTCAACGAATAGTAGGTGATTCTAACAGTGCACATCCCCTTAATTTCTCTGCTTAACCGTAACCAAAGAATTCGTCACAAATGCTTGAGCATATCTAACGCCGCCTGCATTGGCAAATGCTCAATCAAAATTTCATTATTAATCGACTAATCTCACGATGAAGGTTCGTTTCTCAACAAATTGCAAATTACATTTCACAATGAACGCGCGCGCTAGAGGCCAGGGAACTCAAGCTTCGTGACTCGTAATGATGGTATGCGGGTGCTCGAATTTACGTAACTCAAACAGAAGACCTGCGGCATAAGTACAGTAATGCCTGTAGATGGATAATTACACTCATGAAATTAATGATCTGTAATTGAATTAAAATTTACCAGGGATCGCCAGGAGCTGAGAACCTATTCATTGATTCTGCACGTTTATAACATTCATCAAGTATCTATGGTCTACTATGGTCGCATGGGAAACGAGACATTTGTAGAGAAGTGCATGCCAAATGTTCACCAATTTGCAGTGAGGCTGCGAGACAAGACGAAACGAGAAGATGCAGTTTCTCGTCTCGTCTCGTTGTCAGGAAACCATTCTCTCGTCTCGTCTCTTCTCGTCCTGTCTAGTCTCGTCTCGTCTCGTCTCGTCCTGTCCAGTCTCTTCTCGTCCTGTCTAGTCTCGTCTCGTCTTGTCCTGTCTAGTCTCGTCTCGTCTCCTATCGTCATATCTCTCGTCTCGTTTGTCTCGGCTCGTCTCGTTTTGTCTCGCCATGTCTCTAGACTCGTTTGTCTCGTCTCGCCATGTCTCGTCCTGTCTCTCGTCTGGTTTATCTTATCTCATCATGTCTCTCGTCTCGTTTGTCTCGTCTCCTTTCTCTCGCGTCTCGCGGCATCCAATTCGGCAGAATGAAATTCCAATTTATGTATTGAGAAGACTGATGAATTACTCTCTGCAATACTTTTCCTCTGTACTTACTCCTCAATGCTCATGGTGAATATTTATCACTCTTGAACCGAGTGCACAATTGGCTCGTAATGCTTAGCATAGAACATAGAACCAAGACCTGGAAATACGTTGAAATATAGTGAATTTCGCTGGGCGAAACCGACCCGCCTTTTCGAGGTAGAAGCACGTACGTGCAGGAACAAATTAAAACCGCAATCCGTGCTTCGGTCGATGGGAGAATGAATATACTAGAATGTGGATAATGGCTCAATCGTTTTATTTTTTCGACGTAAAATTGTCCCACTACCGGCTTGATCACGTTTTAATCCAATTTCCAAGGATACATAATTCGTTTGATTGCCTCTTCCCTGATGATGAGTTGGTGAGACTCTTTCCGATGATCCGAAGTCTCTACTGAAGGAAATCTTCGTATCGTTTAGAACAATAATGGCATAGCAAGGTGTGATTACATGGCGCTGATTAGTTTAGTTAAAATGGCCCACCAATACTCGTGCACTAATTTCTGGAGACGTGAGGCATGCAAAAACCAAAACTGCAAGCTCGACATGCCTGCTTCCCTCCTTCCTCGCGCCACCGACGTATTTCATTTAGAGGCATTTTTTTTGTGCAACCGACGGTGTAATTATCCTAGCAGCGGTCGTCCGTGCGAATTGGCGACAAACAGACAGTTTTGTTAGTCAGGGAAACTGTCAATTAGGCGGAAGTAGGAGAGAAGAGTCATCTGTCTCTGTCTATTGTACATTCAGGGAATTCACTCGTCACGGTGGAATTTCGTCCGGTCGAATAATAATTGAGTTAATGCATGAGTTCACTGGTACGTGTTGAAGGTCACTGATCACGTTCATTGACTGTACTCAGTGTTCAGATGACAAAAATTTGGATTTTCATCCTTGCGGCCATTGACAACTCTTTGACAGAAGATCACAAATTCAGTAGCCAAGCGGAATATCTCGGAATCTAAAGGGGAAACGAAAATTTTTGTTATGACTTTTTTTGTAGAGCCAACTGAGGGCTATAAAAAAGGTGATGACGAAAATTTTTGTATCTCTCTTAGATTCCGAGATATTCATCAAAAACCGGCCAGTGGTTTACCACTTCGCTTCGTTACTGAATTGCGTGAGGGAAAATTTTCAATTGTCATTAACAGGTAATTCTCATTAGGTTTCAATTATGACAATTATATTGCTCTAGGAGATGATTATGGCAGTTATGACCTTAAGTGAATTCCGTCGATAATTACTACATTCAAAAATTAATCGAAATTCGTCCCTCTAGAAAATAAGAAATTTAGGAAAAATGAATAATCATTGGAGGAGTTCATCCAAAGTCATGTGCAGCACAGTCATCCTCTAGAGCAACATGATTATCATAATTGAAACATAATCCGGTTCGCTTGGGAATAACTCGATTGGAAAAGTACGATTTTGAAGGAATAAATGTTCCTGTCAAGTAAATAAATATTTGGCAAAAATATTTTTTTGTTCTCAGTGTGACGAAAATGTCAAATTAAAAAAAAAGAATTGGGTGAAATCTCTCTCCCCAGAAAACGAAAAAAGAGACAAATGGTTAATGTGTGCAGGTGTCTGGAGGTAGAATAATTCTTTCTCCTAGGATACAATGCTGGGTTACTGTTAAACAGAAAGGGGAGCTAAAAAAGTAGTTGGAGGCTGCTATAACGAATGGATACTGGTGCTTTCAGTGGAGAATAGCTGATGTAGGTAAATGGGGTCCAGTGAGAGAGCTTGGATTTACTCGGAGTTACGGCTACTATAGAGCCCCAGGATTTTCGCCAGGATTCTCTATGGTTCATGAGAAAGGGCCCTGTACTGGAGTCGAATTGGTTTTACCATAATGACTACATTTCAGGATAAATAGCTGAAAATAGATACAAGAGTTTAGGAGCTTTTTTTCCTCTCCTGTACCTCTTTTTTTTTCAAGTCGTTCCTCAGTACTCACTTAATTCTCGCCAGCCCAGCCCCAATGATAAACTGGGTTTTTTCTCTTTTTCCTTCTACTGTGGAGTTTTTTTTCAAGAGTAATTCCAACGAGTTTTAAAAAAGTTTGCCTAGTCACGTAGAGGAAGGAAAACTTATCATTGATTTTGAAACATTAAGAGAATGTCGCCATTCGCAGTTCCCCCTTCTGTTTCCCCTCAGCCCACTGAGCATTAATCTTCCCTGTAATTCCGATTTAGTTCGAGTTTCACCCAAGTGTCACCCACCGTTGATCACGTATATTCCTAAAATTTATTTCTGATAACTCAGCGGAGTTGAAAAAAAACCCTCTGCCTCCAGCAGTCTTTTTAATCAAAGTGATTCGACAATTTGTTTTATTTCTCGAACCACCCTCTTATTAGAGGAATAAGAAAACTTCGGAATTTACGGATTCGTTAATCGGTGGGGATTTGAGTTTGAAGCCATTCATTTTCTATCTGAAAAACCAGGAAATCTATATCCACCCAAAAAAACTGAGAAAAGACACTCTCATTTTGCGGAGACACTAAAAATTGGCTTGTCACCATGTCGCGACTTGTTATGCAGATGAAAATTGAAGACTGCCCATTTTTTTCAAGCTCATAAATTTAAACGAAGTTGTGTATAGAAGATATGATATATTGAAGCCTGTTTATCGCATGCGAGGGAATAGACAATCTCGCGCTGTAATATCCTGTGACAATTCCAACGGATAATATAAAAATGAACGAAAAAAAAAACAACAATACTCGGGGAAATTTGATTCTATTCATTTGGTGAATGTTCAAATGGCGTTCTCTATTTCTTTTATGCCCGAGGAAAGTATTTTTAATAAGTCGTTTCCCGGCAATTTCATTTTAATCTTAGAAATTGAGAATCCTCGGTGGAACGAGACTACGCGCATGAGAAAATCTTGGGCGGCGCGCATCGCCAGGAATATTCCCACTCAAATGAGATAGTTCGTTCGGATTAAAGTCCATGTATTCCACACATATACTATAAACGGCATGGCAAAATCCCCCGGCATGGTTCCCATTTCATTAGCAGGCTCATGGAGGAGGCGCCAGATTGTTCAGTGAACATCGGAATTATCCGAGGCCGATGCATCTAATTAAATCTGGTATTGGAGTATCCCAGGTATATTTTGAGAGAAAAAAGTATCTGAGAGATTAATCCATTGGTTGAAAAATTAATACTCATATTGGCTTGCATTTTGGAGCAGCAGTTGAGCGAAGAGTTCGTGGAGTAATCTCATTTATTCATATCGATGCCAGACCACCGACCACAATTTGGCACTTTGCTTTTATATGTACCATGAGCATCAGTCGGAGTGAAATGCGATTCGCTCGATAATTAATCAACGGTCGAAATAGATGAAACATATCGAGTTGAAATTTCTGTCATACGGGGGGCATCGCCGGAACTGTTCTCTCTATCGAAGTTGGAGGTTCACTTATTCATGCATCGGGCTCTGACGGTTGGACCACAGACCACACGCCAAGTGGAAATTGTTGTCGAGGCTCAGACATCGGTGCTCCATTTCCCCGTTGGATTTTTTTCAATGTCAAATTCTTCAATTCAATCGATTTTGTGGGCTCTACATTCCTTGAGGAGCAGACGCTATAAATCGACGATTCATTTTTAACTTTTGCGGAAATTCTTTTCTGGGTGAGCAACTGCAGTGTACAATTCTGAACATCGAATCCATAAATCTCCATAAATATTCTTCCAGCCAAGTCGTTCCCTCCGAACGACGTGTCTACGACGACTACGGCAAGTTTATTAGAAAATATTCCGCCAATTCCATCGCCACCGCCGTGCCAACATCGAGCTTTCGAATTGTATATGCCATATCTGCATTTATTTCATAGCAGATCTGTCTTTTGACTTTGATGAATGTGAATAAAATCAATTAATTAGCCATCAGAATTTTTTACAACGTTATTACCACGTTTGTTGTTTTTATTTTTTGCACAATAAAGTTTTCTAATAGATCTGATAATATGTACACAGCAAAAACGAATGTCTGAATTTCTCATACATTTTGTAGACTTTTTTCATACACTAAAGAACGTCTGATTATTCAGACGAAAAAATAATCATGATTATTCATTAACTATCATTAATGATAGTTAACTATCATTAATGATAGTTAATGATAGTTTTTGGTTTTCGGTGGGGGTTAATCATGATTTTTTAGTAAATCAAAATTGTCTGAATTTCAAACGTGAATTGAGATGTTTGGGCACTTGTTCGTCTGCCACTCAGACACATTTTCATTTTATTCAGACGTTTTCAGTGTCTGAAAAATGTCTATAAAAGGTTTATGAAATTCAGACATTCGTGTTTGCTGTGAATGTCTTCACAGTCAACATTTACTCCTCAAAGCCCCGAGTTTTCAGGATATCGTGACGCATCTCGTTTTCGGTCGACAGAATTGAGATTTGATTATCTATTGGCCGGGTACGCGTTCAGATACAGCTTGCTGGGCAAAGGTTCCATGGACAGGTTGATTTGCATAGAGGGCACCAGCTTGAACACTGAGTCCAACAGGATCTTGAGATGCATATGGCGAGATAGACGCGACTGAGGTCTGAAAAGATAAATCAATAATTATAACAACTCAATCTCTTGCTCTCTTACTCTCGTACTCTTAATTTAACCGATCGTAATATTCAATTTTTACAATGAGTTTGTGGATGATGAATGAGAAATTCTACGAAACCTATGATCTTAAACCCAATTCAAATTCATAAGACTGACAATTCTAAAAGTATAACTATTATTTTGCGTGCACTGATAGAACGGATGTTATTGTTAACGAATGGATTTTGTTTGGAGTTTAGGGTCCATTCGGTCCCACCAAATGTTCATTCGTTAATAGTTAACGAATGTATATTTGAGGAGCCTTGTTTGACTTGACTTTCGCCATTCAAGTGAACCATTCGTTAACTATTAACGAATATTCATTTGGTCATATTCCACTCTACCATTCGTTAATAGTTAACGAATCTCGTTTGGAATAAATGAATCATTCTATCAGTGTGGAAATATCACCGAGCGTTGGAGATTAGCATTAGCGGCGGCGACAACCGATTGACGGACGATGTGAACCGGGCCAGTAACAACTGCAGTTCTATAAGCAGGTCCAGGTCCAACAACAGTGAGACTGGGATCATGTTGAACAACGGCATTGAATCCATTGATAGAATCGGAGGCATAGGACACCCGTCTCCTCGAGCCATCAGGCTCGACGAGGCTGTAACTCCCCTGGACGACGTCTCCATTCCTGGTTTCCTCCTGGGTTTTCTGGTCGCCTTAGACATAAAAAACGCTCATGACATTGACGGCGATGATAAAATAAGTCGATTGATCGTCTCACCAGTCAAATCGTCAGCAACGCTGTAGCTGTAGCTGTACTGCGGGTGAGGATCATAAGTTGTGCTTCCCACCACTTCCGCAGGCTGGAGGACCGTCACAGTTGGCGCAATGACGCCCGCCCGAGCCACCGCCAGCATCGCAGCCAAAATGAGTACTCTATTAGTCATTGCGGATCGTTGATTGATTTATGACTGTGTCAAACCCGGCTACAACCACCGTTATATACCCATCGACTCGTAATCCGTTTTTATTTTTATGCCCTCTCTCTTTCTGTTTAATCCGACTGGGCGAGAACTGGAGAAATATCATCCGGAAACCACCACACTATTCTCCCATCAAGGACGGATGCGAACAATTCAATCCCTCGATTTTTCATATTCGAAGGTCAAGACACTGATATTTCTCAACTACGTACATTCGATCCACTTGTTTATCAGAGGTTGGCCTGACTCAATTCTTCTTTATTTTCCAACATTGATTTGCAAATTTTTTGCTCCAATGCTATTCAAGGTGAATAGATGGAGAAGAGAGAGAGAGCGAGAGAGAGAGAGAGAGAGAGAGAGAGAGAGAGAGAGAGAGAGAG